GTAGAACCTGTTACAATAGAAGGAAAGCCCCAGCCTGCGGCACAGACAGGATGCTCACGGCTGGTTACAGCCCAGAGGCTGCTCAGCTTTGTTTAAAAGGGGGGCATTCAGTTTGTCAGAGTGCTCGTGGTTCTTGTGGGCTCCCAAAGGCGTTTTATCTGAAAGGGAGATTTTCCAAGCACTGCCTGTTCTCCCCCGGCTGCTGAGCAGAAGGGTAGGACAGAAAATCGGCAGGGCGCTCACACCCCCTGCTTCCCTTTTCCAGAATGCAAAGTCCACTAGCTAGGACTCATAGAGGACTGGATGAAAAAGACAGGGGCCAACAGCTGGTGCGAACATCCAGCATGAGGTAAAGAGCCAAACTCTCCCCCAGCAGGCCATCGTGAGGCAGACACTGTCTCCTTAAAGATCTGGTGTGATCACAGAAGGGGACGAACTGCCCGATCTAACCCACAACGGCTCACCTTCCCAAGTCACAGGGATGTTCATCTGTCTCACGGTAACTAATCGGGCCATGGAGGCGGAGTCGCCCCGTGTTCTATAAAAGACTTACTGAGCCCAGCGCTGCTGACACCTAGTAAGTGCTCAAGAAGTATCATTTCCCTTCCTTCTAGAAACCAAGACAAAATCAAGCGCTCCTAAATCTTAGGCTGCCCCAGATGACAACACAGCACCCCACTTTCTCCTGTGCATGAACCCTCAAGTGGGCCAGGTGCACTAGAAACGCTGTGAGGTTGTAATGCCTTTAATCCTCGCTGGCCATTCTGGACGTGATTGTCGCTACAGAACGGGATCTTCCTGATGGAGGTAACCCTCTCTCCTGATGTGCAAATCCAGTATCAGCTCTGCTTTAGGGAAACCATTTTTGAGCCTTAGGGAAAAAGGATCTCCTCCAGCCTAATACTGTAAGGCTATGTACGCAACGTTCCATGGACACAGGGCTCCCCAGGGACCCTGGACTCACAGATAAGGCACATTTAAGGCACAAACAGGTATCTTTAAGGGAGGAATGTGTGTGCATGTATGTGTGTGACAGAGAGAGATCTAGCCTGTTATGGATTGTGTCCCCCCAAAATATGTTGTAAATCCTAACCTCTATGCCTGTGTTTATAATCCCATCTGGGAATGGCTTGTCTTTGTTATGCTAATGAGGCAGGATTAGCCCAGGGTATATCTTGAGGCAATCGCTTGTGAGATACAAGAGAGATTAAACAAGCATGCAGAGCAGAGATGGGGGAAGAGAGATGTCAAGTCACATGAAGATCATCCAGGAGCAGAAGCTCTGAACAAACAAGGACCTTCTTCCAGAGCCGACAGAGAAAGCCCTCCCCTTGAGCCGGCATCCTGAATTTGGACTTCTAGCCTCCTAAACTGTGAGAAAATAAATTTCGGTGTGTTAAAGCTACCCACTTGTGGTATTTCTGTTATAGCAGTGCTAGATAACTAAGACATAGCCCATGTGTGTTCTGAATAGCTCTTGATTCTAGAAGTATCCCCAGCCCCTTCTTATTCCCCAATATTCCCTGGGGCCTCGTCCTCAATAAAACTGAACCATCCTAGGAGTATCTGTCTGTCTGACTGACCGTTTGTCTGTCTACCTGACTAAGTGAATGCAAGAATGGAATCGAGGACACGTGTCTCCGGCTCCCCGCAGCCCCCCACTCTCTCCTGTACTCCGCTCTAGGGGGGCTTATCTGATGACATGTCCACTCACTGTCTCTTGTAAGAACTGCTCTCATAAAGCGACCTCCCAGGGCGAGCCCCCATCACGTTCCGGTCCAGCCAGCCCTCAGTTCCTCAATGACTGCACTCAACAGACCAGCCTGGCAGACGAGGGGGTAGGGGGCTGACGGCCTCTTTTCTTTTGTTCTTTTGACAGCCAATTTTATCTGAGCAAGTACTGCTTGCTATTTTCACCTACAGTAGGGAAACATATAAATAGCACATCAAACCAGCAAATGGGTTTAAATAAAAATATAAACTATTCAGATGATGAAGACCAGGGACCAAGAGAAGATTCCTGGGGTCCTGTCCACAGGGCAGTGTGCTCTGTTTTATCAGCTCACGGTTCTACAGGCTTATAATCGCTACTAGCCTCCTCCATCCCCAGCCGCCCAGGGGAGCGCAGCTGGAGAGGCTCCTCCGATTCCTCCCCTGGGGGGCAGGTGTCTCCATTTCTGAGTTGTGCTAAAACATACATCTCAGGAGACATGCAGAGGAGTGGCCCCTCGAGGCCCGATTCTGGCTTTATGGCTTTGCTCGGGCTGAGGATATGGGCGGGAGAGGCCCAGGAATGCTGAGAAAGAATCTCACTAAGGCACTTAGGACAAAGGGGCTGGGCACTGGCGCAGGGCTGGACCAGAGTCTGCTCGGCCTCCCGCTGCGTAAGCGCGTAAGAGCCTTGGCCCTCCCTGGTCATTCAAGCTAAACAGAGAGACTCGGGACAAAACAAACAAACACACTATTCAGAGTTGGTTTGTAAATAAGCTGAACTAAAACATGCTGTCACAATTAGGTCTCCAAATCAAAATCCTTTATATTAACTTAAAAAGGTTACCTAACTTTTCCTATACTGGGTTCAAACCTCACTCCCGTCCTCTGCCAAAAAGGAGCACCCGAGTTCAGCTGTCAGATGTTTATGTAACGCTCGGTATGTGAGGGAGACTCCAGAGCCCAAACACTTCACAGAAATCCTTCCCCAGAGCTGGCACAGCTGCCTTTCACTCACGGTCTCCACGCCCAAGTGCAAAGTCGAGAGCTGTGGAAAGAACCACACTGGGGGCTCAGGGCTCACCCGGTGAAAAAGCCTTGGTTCTCTGGATTTTTCCAAGACATCTCTTTAACTAGTGGAATCAAAGAAAAGGGCAGGAAACCTTTTCACATGATGAACAATACAATCAACATATCTTACTTGTTCTCTGGAGTCCCTGGGTGGTGCAAATGGTTAATGCACTCTACTGCTGAGCAAAAGATTGGTGGTTCAAGTCCAACCAGAGGTGCCTCAGAAGAAAGGCCTGGCGATCTACGTCTGAGAAATCAGCCATTGAAGACCCTATGGAGCACAGCTCTACTCTGACACACATGGGGGCGCCATGAGTTGGAACCGACTCAACAATAACTGGTTTTCTTAGACCTTTCCTAGGCCCCCACTCACTGGCCTATGCCTGATATTTATGTAAGAACGTAAACAGAGGGACGGGTAAGCAGTGCCCCGTGGCCACCATACACCATCCATGCCCTGGAGGATCTCATTCAGGAGCCAGCAGAGCAGAGAGAAGCAGAGGCAGGAGCCTGCCATCAAGCCCCTCTTCACCCAGCTCGGCTGGCCTCAGCTCACCCTGGCCAAGGCAAGGATCAGTGAGAACCACCCAGACAGCAGGGCCACCCGGACCAGGACAATCCCAGTGTGGCCCCTGCTGAGGAGATGGGCTTGGCCATCGTCCGGCCTGAGCTGCCCATCACGGCGGGGGGAGGGGAACCGTTTCTGGGAGACCCAAGTGCACCTGGGTAGACAAAGCAGGAATCCGCTTACGAGGTACGTGTGCCCCAAATCCAGTTACTGATGTGGATATGAAGGCTGTGCGTGGGTTTAATCCTTCCTAGGTACAGATGCCAATGATAACGCAGGCAGCGGAGACATGGAGAGAAGACAGAAAAGAGAGCGAAAGAGAAAGAAGACACTAAAGGCCCTTCAATCGCTACCAGGAATAAAATACAAAATCTAAGTAAATTTCCTACACAAAACCTTTCACAAGTTAGGAAAAAAAACTTGGGGTTGGGTGGGGCGTCTTCTGCATTATACAACAGAAAAGCAATTTCCATTTCTTATCTGTATGAAAGAAGAAAGATCTTTTTCTTTAACTACAAAAGTTACTTTTAATCATTAAAAAAGAAAAATCGAAGCAGGTAGAAGGGTTAGGTTGTCTCTTTGGGTGAGCTGCAAAGTAGCAAATCTGATCATACAGGTAAAAATGTGGGGACACAGAGATCACCTCCGCCAGCCCAGGAAGGGGCCTCAGGCCCACCCTCCTGGTTAAGGCCAGGGAAGAGGAAGTCCAAGCTGAAAGGGTGCCGGGGGCAGGAGCAGGTGTGGAGACGAGCCGGCAAGGCTGTCCACAATCCCTGTTGTCAGGACTCCCCTCCCTGTTACGGGAAGCCGGGCAGGAAAAGCTTCTGGCCCGAGAGCCGCAGAGCTGAGCATGGCACTGCTGCACTTCACCTCTGAGCTCCTTCTATGGGGGACCCCTCGTAAGGGGGTCTCGGCTGACACGACTTGAAAGTCCTCCAGCCAAAAGGAAAGGACACAAAGCAGGATCCGGACAGGGGAGACCCCAGGGCCAACCGTGCCCTCTCGGCTCCAAAGGTCAGCAGCTTTGCCGGCTTGGAGGGAGACATTGAAGCTTCAGTGTGGGGACTGGCGGACAGCCTCAGAAAGCTAATAAATACTATTTACAAATGGAGAGGTGGAACTAGGGGCGTGTGGGAACAGGTGTGGGGAATCCTACAAGCAGAAGGGGACAGGTTCGCCTGGTCCTTTAGGCATTGCACGTGCGGCCTGAAGTGCCAGCCCGCCTGCCAGCGAGGACGCAAGGACAGAGTGGGGGGTACTGACAGGACACCCCAGCTCCCAGCGCTGCAGCCAGAGCCCCAGGTGGGAGGACAGGAGGACGCAGATCAGAGCGCCGCTGATCCCAACGGGCACACGGTTTGTTTGTGGCTGGGGTCTGGGTTTTCAAATGAACACGTCATCTCTTCCTTTAGGAGGGGAAGAATCAGGCAGTATCTTTTTGGCACTATTGGTAGAAACAAGCCCACTTGTCCCACGCCCACCCCGAACATAATTTCCTATGGCAGCAAGAGACGGGGGAGGAAGAGATGCCAGCTCCCCGCTGCGGGGGGACACAGAGCTGGGGACAGGATACTCTCATTGCCCAAGGGAACCCAGCCTCCTCCCATCCACACCCCCGACGCCCGTCCGCGTCATCGTCAAGATCGGGTGGCAAAAAGGAAAAAGCTTATGACAGAGGTGCTTTGGTGACCGAGAAGTGGAGTTAGGAGGGTGGGGGTGCAGGCCGCCTCTTTAAAAGGTGGCGTTCACTCTTCTGTCAAGCTGGACAACTTTTAGTGTTTCGTTCCCCTCCAGTTTGGAGCTGACCCTGTGAAGGCAGAGAAAAGAAAAGAGGTATTAGCCACTCACGTCTTGCAGTGTGACACAATCCTTCTATTATTGCCACTTTGTAGGCAGGCCCAAGGATATTTCTTGTCCTTTTCCCTCCTAACAGCAATTCTCTGTTCCAAAAGTCTCCCACTACCAGTCTGTCTACTCAGCCACGCTCTGATCTGTATCCCCATCCGAGGGGATGGGGATTAAAGGATTAAACATGGTGGCTGGATACAGGTTTGCTACAAATTGCTTAAGTATTAACTGGGGATCTTTAGTCCTTTATTAGACTCTGGGAAGAGGGTAAATAAAAGGATATGGTCTGACTCCTGTCTAACTTAAAATAACAATAAATATATTAACAGAAAATCACCAACCAGGCCACACATAAGCAGGAGTGTGTATGTGACACCTCCTTCCCGTGGTGACTGACACACCCAGACACCTCCCCTTCCACTATAACAATACCCTGTAGTCCTATAAGCCTTATGTTAACAGAACGAATTTCCCCCATAACTGTCTGGAGAAAACAACTCACAAGAGGAGCCAAAGATACGTGAGTTTCCACATGGAAACACGTGCACGCGCAATGCCTCTCAAATGGTATTCCTCAATATCAATGTATAACTGTAATAAATACATGGTTCAAAACCCAAACCCACTGCCATCGAGTCAATTTCAACTCATAGCGACCCTACAGGACAGAGTAGAACTGCCCCATAAGGTTTCCAAGGCTGTAATCTTTATGGAAGTAGACTGCCACATCTTTCTCCCATGGAGCGGCTGGTGGGTTCAAACCGCCAACCTTTTGGTTAGCAGCCAAGTGCTTTAACCATTGCACCACCAGGGCTCTTCAATACATGGTTGCTTGTATATAAATTATAAAACTGTATGTTGATATATAACATGTTGTTGTTAGTTGCTGTCAAATTGATTCCGACTCATGGCAACTCCGTATGTAAAGAGCAGAACTGCTCCATAGGTTTTTTCAAGGCTTCTTTTCAGAAGCAGATGGCCAGGCCTGTCTTCCTCATTGCCTCTGAGAGAGTCTGAACTGCCAACCTTTTGGCTAGTAGATGAGCGCTTAACCGTCCGTGCCACTTGGATACGTAACATAACATACATGTACTCTCCAGTTGGGAGGAAGTTAGGGCATGTCTTGAGGCTGCATGACATAGCGAGCACATAACTGTTAGCTGGGTTGTATGTTTGCTTGTGTGCCTTGAGGGAAGGATGAAGACAGTGGGGAAGGGATTAAAATGCCCTGCTCCCTCGTGCCACCACTGCCAGCTCCTCGCTGATGCAGCAGACATGGAGGAGATCACATGGGATCTTTTCCCTGTCTCAGCTCAGGGCCACTGCTGACTAGGAGCTGACCCCCACAGTCCCCGCTCCTGGAAGCACAGCCTGACGCAGCAGGGGCCGGGTCCAGGCCTGTAGGCAAGCTGCGCCTGCCGTTCCCGGGGGATGACCTGCAGCCCCAGCAGGGCCCGGAGGGGCATCAGGTCTGTCTCACGCACAGGTGCTGCTGTAGCTCCAGGAGCACGGCCTTGTCCAGGCTCGTCTCATTTGACAGGATGAACTGGGGAAGATCCACATCCGGCCTGGACTCCAGCCCAGACGCCCGGAGCAGGGAGGAGCCCCTGTCCCAGGCCCCCAGCTCCCCCGGCGAGGCTGTGCTGGATGGCTCCTCCAGGGGAGAGTGCTCCTCATAGATGAGCAGGTTCCTGGATCTCACTGAGGGCAGGGCAAAGCGACAGTGAGCCAGGGACCCCAAGGGTGTACCGCTCCCCTCACCCAATCCCCGGGTACTGGGCAGAGAGGACACCAGAGGTGTCCTTGTGACCCAGGACAAGGGTACCAACTGGATGTGACTTTCCATAAAGATGTCAGAGTTTCAGGGTTTTGTGCATTCAGAATTTATACCAATTATACAGTGCTGGAAGAGCAGTAAACAAGCAAATAAACACGAAGCTATCTGCCACCCCGACTGGACTGAAAATACAACTCCCCTCCTGCCCCACCCACAGCTGTCTGGAGGGAACAACTCATGTACCATCGGAGCCCAGTACTGGGAGGTGTCCAGACCCAGCTATACCCCAAAAAGTCAGCCCTGCAGGGAGACAAGGAACAGGGGCAGAACACTGCATTTTCATTTCAGAACCTGGAGCAAAGATAACAAAGGCAAAGCCATAAATCAAAGAACAGAGACAGACTCTTTCATTTCAGCGGATAGTCGCGTAGCTAGATGGCTCTACAGTGATTCTGCACAACATAGATGCAGCATTCCCACTGGCTCCCATTTCAATCTAGAGATGCATTCTCTTGGGGAAAAAAGGATTTCCTAACAGGCCACTGAAATTATTTTGTTGAAAGGCTAGCACTTCTGCCATGTACTTGGCAGGGATACACCTGCTGGGCAGGATCACAGACCTCCCAGAGCTACAAAGTTGTCCTGACTCCAAATCCACTACCTCGCAATTCCACACTGGATCTTACCAGTGTTAGATCCTTACTCACCTTTACTTCATCCATATTTAAGGGAGACAATGGACCCAGGTAAGAATACCATATACTTCCTGCCTAACACCTGAATCCCCAAACTCTTTCCATCTTGTGTACAATATTTTTTAAGACTGGTTAATTCTTTAATTTCACTCTAGAAACCCTTACAATGATAACATACAATTCCACTAAGAGGAGGCAGAAATACAAGAGTTCTCTTAAAACATCATGGAAGGCTTAATGCTCCCTTATCCCACCCCCCCAAACTCACATCCCTTCCCCTTATCAGAGCTCATAAAGGAGAGGTCAGAACTTATCAGGGAACACAGCGTAGAGAAGTCGTTTGCAAACTGCTCCGTGGAGCTCTAGAATGTTCCTGGGGTGCCTCCGCCCTGTGGGTGAGGGGCACCAGGTGGCACAGCAGCCTGACACCAGAACCCTCGCTTCCCTTGCCCCTCCCTCTCACTGTGTACCAGTGTTTAAAAATTGGACTTTCTCAGAGATCCCTTTCAGCAAGCTGAAAGCCCCAGCTCTAGAGACTGAACAGCCACTCCCAAGTGGCCGAGTGCCTACTTACCGACAGAGGCTGTGTATGGCTCTGGCATGGAATGCTGGCTGGGCACGGCCATCTTTGTGGCAGACGGATAGGGCCCAGAGCCCTGGAAAATGCTGCCAAATGCCACAGCAAAGCAGAGCGCAATGACCTGGACGAGAGGGGAACAAGGGCGTGTGAGTTCCCGGGCCCGGGCCCATAGAGCCACCCTTACACCCAGGGGTCCGCTCAGGCCAGGGACTGCACCCACACACCAAGGCCTGGCAAGATGGCGGCAGAGCCACGGCGTCAGAGTGAGCCACAGGTCTCTCCAGCCCCAGGGTGCTGAGACCTGGGCGGCTGGGAGAGGTGGGGTGGGTGACTGGGCCCGCGGCCCTTGGAGACTCACCATTAGGCAGGTGCCCGTCTGCGTGCCAGCTAACTTGCAGGTCCGAGAAACCTTGCCCATGACCAAGGTCTGAAGCCTCTGCAGCTGCTGAAGGAGAGTTCTGCAAACACCACAAAGAACAAGCATGAGGAAGGTCCCTGGGTGGCACAAACGGCGCGCACTCTGCTGGTAACCAAACTGTTGGCGGTTCAAACCCACCCAGCGGCACCGTGGAAGAAATGGGCCTGGCAATCTGCTTCTGTAAAGATCACAGCCAAGGAAACCCCATGGGGCACTTGTGCTCTGTAACACACGGGGTCTCTCCATAAGTCACAATGAAAATCACCAACCAGAGCAGGGTCACCCAATAAGCAAGCCCAACTGTCTCTTCTCACCAATCTGCCATGCACAATTTCACCTGTCCCCACCACGCAAAGACATGGTCACACCCATGCGAAACTGCTCACCACAGATTAGCAGGTAAATACAATTAAGCCCGCGCGTACCCTGCTCAATGCAAGCCGGCGCATGCCGTGTTTACTGGTTAATCCGCCCGGCAACAACAACAAACCAACAACTAAAGCCATGAAAAGCGTGGAGGGAGTAAGAGGATGCTTTCTGCCAGTCTCTCTGGTGCTTCAGGAAGTACGGCTGCCACTTGTGGCTTTGTGCCTGGCTTTGGACAAAGAGGACCAAGTGGAATGGCCCCTGGAAGGCAGCAGAAGGCAAGCTCATCTGCCTGGGCGAGCAGGAAGGCTCCATGTCTATGCTGCGAGGTGCTGCACTTGGCGTTCGACGGCACATCCTTCCCAAACTCAAGGAGGATTCTATTCTGAATCCACTGCAGATGAAAATGGTGGTTAATCGTCCCCAATTTCTAACAGTTAATAATCCAACTCTGTAAGATGAGCAAACATGAAGTTTAAAATAGATTTCTTAGTTGGGAATTTGGGTGGGAAGTGACATGGAGTCCTAGCGCCACCTGCTTCTGCTTCTCCTCCCTGGGCTGATAACGGTGAACGGCACTGACTGCGGAACACTCTGAAGACCCCGCAGAGCTGCAGAGCTGAGCCATAGAGTATGCTTGAGAAAGTCCCCCAAAAGTGACCTGACTCCCTGATGCCCACGGTCTAAACACACTTACATGATCCAATAGCGTTTGTGGCGTTCATACACGTACATTCAACAGAAACACATATTTTCATCACAAGGTAAGGAAATAAACAGTGACTCAGTGCCCAGTGACTGAGTTCCAGGCACTTCATAGACTGAGACACTAAATAACTGTCTCAAAGTCATGTGGCTAGAAAACAGAGGACCAAAGATGTCAGCCAAAGCCTGCTGGACTCCGTAGCTCACAACTGGCCAACGTGACCCAGCATGGCACCCTCATCGACAACTAATAAAACTAATAACCAAAATACTTCTTGGGTAAGAAGATTTGTCTTCAGCCTGGTGATGTTCACACTGTGTTGACAACAGCCCATTCAAGAGATATGACCACCGTCAGACGTGAAAACATCACAATAAAAAGGGCCCGAGCAGCAGATGGAGGAGTCACAGTGAGAACTCAGGCACCAATATCACAGCCAATGGCGATGACATGCAACCAATAAAACAGCAATGACAGTGATGAAAATCATAACCTTATGGCTGCTGTCGAGTGCCATCGAGTCGGCTCCGACTCATAGCGACCTGATGTATAACAGAACGAAACACTGCCCAATCTTGCGCCATCCTCACCACCTGCACACACCAGGCATGAACGCAGGTGATCAATACAGGAATCAGGGCTTGCTGCTCCACCATAGGTGTGCAGAAGCCAAATCTGGGCGTTACTTGGAAAAACGGAAGGGTTGGCCTGTGTCAGACTCGAAAGGAGCTGACGATCGAGCTTTCAGTTACTGAGCCCGTGAGCTGGTGCAGGATCCCTGGAACAGAGATGGGCTCTGGGGGCAAGGAACTCGGTCTAGCTCTCAGCACCAGTATGTCTGTAATCAAGTGATTTAAGTTCTCAGCTTTAACCACCTCACCTATAAAACGGGATTCATAAAATGTATTTCGTAGAGTTGTTCTGAAAATTAAAGAAGACAACACATTTATACAATGCCTAGCTTAGAGCTTTAACAACTAGTAGAAGCTGGCGGTTCCATGGCAGAATTCTCGCCAATGCATCTCGTGTGCAGCCACCAGCCGTCTGTCAGTGGAGGCTTGCGTGTTGCTATGATGCCGAACAGGTTTCAGCAGCGCTTCCATGATAAGACAGACTAGGAAGAAAAGTCTGGAGATCTACTTACGGAAATCAGCCAGTGAAAACCTTACAATCACAACTGTCCAATCCACAACCAAACATGGGGCTGGTGCAGGACTGGGCAGTGTTTGTTCTGTGCTGCACAGGGTCATCATGAGTCGACCAACTTGACAGCAGTCAACACCAGGCAACTAATAAGTTAATTCCCTTGGCCTTGTAAGCTAACAGAATAAACCATCTCCTCTCCTGGGGTACTCTCGGTTAGCTGATGCAAACACCTCTCTTAATGATGCCTGCCGTCTCTTCTGCCCAATGAGATGACAGGTGAAGCCAGCCCTCTTTATGGAGAGTCTGTGACCTCATAACTCAGATGTTGGCACGAGATCCTGTAGGGTATTCATTCTCTGGTGCCTCTGGGACAGATGCTGACCTACCTGCCTTGCTGGAAGCCAAGACGATAGCTTGGCTGGTTGGAGAAAAGGCAGCCATAGATGACACGAAGAATTTTTTTTTTTTAAATTGTGCTTTAAGTGAAAGTTTACAAGTTAGTTTCTCATACAAAAATTTATACACACATTGTTATGTGACCCTAGTTGCTCTCCCTATACCGTGACAGCACACTCCTCCTTTCCACCTCGGATTTCCCGTGTCCATTCAACCAGCTCCTGTCCCTTTCTGTCTTCTCACCTCACCTCCGGACAGGAGCTGCCCATTTAGTCTCACGTATCTACTTGAGCTAAGAAGCACACTCTTCACAAGTATCATTGTATGTCTTATATTCCAGTCTAACCTTTGTCTGAAGAGCTTGCCTTAGGAATAGTTTTAGTTTTGGGCTAACAAAGAGTCTGGGGGCCACGTCTTCCAGGGTCTCTCCAGTCTCAGTCAAACCATTAAGTCTGGTCTTTTTGCTAGAATTTGAGTTCTGCATCTTACTTTTCTCCTGCTCTGTGAGAGACTCTGTCTGTTGTGTTCCCTGTCAGGGTGGTCATTGGTGGTAGCTGGGCACCATCTAGTTCTTCTGATCTCAGGCTGATGGAGTCTTTGGTTTATGTGGCCCCTTTTGTCTCTTTGGCTAATATTTTCCTTGTGTCTTTGGTGTTCTTTATTCTCCTTTACTCCAGGTGGGTTGGGACCAATTGATACATTTTAGATGGCCGCTTGCTAGCTTTTAAGACCCCAGATGCCACTCACCAAAGCAGGATGCAGAACATTTTCTTAATAAACTTTGCTATGCCAACTGACCCAGATGTCCCCAGAAACCATGGTCCCCAGACCCCTGCCCCTGCCACAATGTCCCTCGAAGTGTTTGGTCGTGTTCAGGAAACTTCTTAGCTTTTGGTTTATTCCAGTTGTGCTGACTTCCCCTGTAGTGTGTTGTCCTTCCCTTCACCTAATTCTTGACTACTATCTAGTTAGTGAATACCCCTCTCCCTGCCTCCCCATCCTCATAACCATCACCGAATGTTTTCTTCTGTGTTTAAACCTTTTCTTGAGTTCTTAAAATAGTGGTCTCATACAATATCTGTCCTTTTGTGACTGACTAATTTCATTCAGCATAATGCCTTCCAGATTCATCCATGGTATAAGATATTTCATGGCTTCATCATTGTTCTCTATCGTTGCGTAGTATTCCATTGTGTGGATATACCATAATTTGTTTATCCGTTCGTCCACTGATGGGCATCTAGGTTGTTTCCATCTTTTTGCTATTGTGAACAGTGCTGCAATGAACATAGGTGTGCATATATCTATTCATGTGACAGCTCTTATTTCTTTGGGATATATTCCAAGGAGCAGGATAGCTGGATCATATGGTACCTCTATTTCTAGCTTTTTAAAGAAGTGCTCATAGCAACCCTATAGGACAGAGAAGAACTGCCTATAGGGTTTGCAAGGCTATAAATCTTTATGGAAACAGACTGCCACATCTTTCTCCCGTGGAGCAGCTGGTGGGTTCAGACTGCCAACCTTTCAATTAGCAGCCAAGTGCTTTAACCACTGAGCCACCAAGACTTGGTAGGAATACTTTTCACTAAATCCTCCAACAAAGCTTACACAGAAATGCAGAGCTGGGCTAAGGTGTGTGTGTGCATGTGTGTGTGTGTAGGAACCACCCTCTGGGTAAGCCAGACTCCCTCAATGATGAAGGGAACTTTTCCTGTCCTTATGGAACTATCTAGAGTGGTAACTTCCAAATTCCAACGCATGAACCATTAGTGGGTTGTGAAATCAGCTGGGTTGTGACAAGCATATTGTTTTTAATGAAACAATCAAATAGAACACGTGATGTCAGAAGGCATCACACACAGTAAATGAATATTCGTATTAGCTACGCAGATGATGTATACGTATGTGTACGTGTATATGTATGTGTACATGTATAGGTATGTGTACGTGTATATGTATGTGTATGTGTAAGGAGCCCTGGAGGTGCAACAGTTAAGCACTGTACTGCTAATCAAAAGGTTAGCGGTTCGAACCTACCAGCAACTCCACTGGAGAAAGGCCTGGCGATCTGCTTCTATAAAGATTACAGCCTAGAAAATCCCATGGGGCAGTTTTACTCTGTCACATGGGGTTGCTGTGAGTCAAAAATCGACTCAATGGCACCCAGCAACAACAATGTGTATGTGTGGGGTGTTCTGGGTCACTATGTAAAATGATCACAATCAAAAAAGTCTGAATGTCACTTATCTATTGCATACATGCAAAAATATATATACACACATGCATATATACATATATACACATGCATACATATACACATATATATACACATACATACATACGTATATTCACATACGTTGTCAGGTGCCGTCGAGTTGGTTCCGACTCACAGCAACCCCGATGTACAACATAACAAAACACTG